TGTTTTCCAGATGTTCCCTTTCAGAATCAAACGTGAGTACTTGGCGCTTCCGCCGAATATTGCGCACTACTTGGCGCGCGCGTGCGCCTGGGCCATGATGAACGGCGTGTCCACGACGTTGCACTGCACCGCCATATATCGGTCAGACCCGTCGTCAATCCGCGGATGGTACGCTGGGTTGATCTTCGTGCGATTGGACGTGCGCATCTTCCCCCAGAGCTCTCTGCATTCCGCTGGCACCCCCAACGCGGGGGCAGGATGCCCCGATGGAATCTGAGCAGGTTGCCCCGCAGAACTCTGAGCAGGTTGCCCCGCGGAACGTGGGGCTGCCACTGGCGCGGCAGGCGCCGCAGCGCTCGCCGCCGATGTGGCAGCGCCAACAGATCCTCTGGGCGTCCGTGGAGTTCCTGGCGGGGCACTGATATCGAAGTCCTGGCGTTTCTTCTCCTTGGTGTTGTAGGACTCGGCTGTCTTATCTCTGGGCGCTGCTCCTGGCACCTTTGGCGTGGTTGCGAGGAGCTTCTCAGTGCCGCGTCTCGTAGAGGAAACATCCCTTGTCCGCCCTTCCAACGCGGGCGCCCATCCTGTCCTGTGCGTCCGACTTGGCGCAGGGCCGCGACGTGGCGCAGGTTCCTCTGGGGTGGGCGCACTGGCGCCCTGAAATCTAGCGGCCGCGGCGGCCACTGCTGGTCCGCTGGATCGTTGTCGATCAGCAGGTTGCCCCGCATATCGCCGCTGCTTGCTGCCCCCAGGGTTGGGATCAGCTGGGCTCTTTCTCTTGTTTTTCTTGGGCTTGAGCTGATCAGGGCCAAGAGATGGGCTTGATGAGTCTGAAGATGAAGGAAATTCGGCCGTCTCTGGCCCCGGCTTAGGAGTTGCCCTTGCCGTGGCCCCCACCGGCGCCCCAGGCGCATGACGCGCGGGGCCTCGGTCTGGATCCAGATCGACGCCATCTGGCCTCCTGAGGGCCATATTATTTAATGGGAACCTTGTGCTTATGTGAAACCAAATAAGCATCGGCGTTTCGTCTTTCGACTATGCGCGTCTTGATCCAGCCAATAATTTCAGCGCGGTCAACAATCCGCCTCCCAGGAGATAGATCCATATATCCAATGACAACGCAATCGGGGATCGATCGGAGCATCTGTCTGACGCGCAACGCCCGCGTGACCCGAATCGCTTGACTCGCAGCCTTCAGGGGCGGCGTCCGCGGGATCAACTTCTTCAGCCATTCCAGCATTTTTCATATTCACCAGCTTCTTGTTGGCCTTCCTCTTCTGATTTATGATCAGCAGCTTTCCCCGCGTGCCACTCGCGATTGAACTGCGCCATTTAGTGAATAGGTATCAAGTTCTGCCAAGCGAGGTTTGAATGAGCTATTTTCCCAGCGGTGGCGGGGCAGTGATCTTTCTCCGCCAGCTGCTCAAGATATGGCGAAGTATTGGGATCAGCACAGTGACCCCGACCATCTCCATGAGACCAAACCCACGGCGCTCGCGTGAAATTCGGGCTTCTTGATGGGCGTCTCACGGGGCAGACGAGCCTGTGATCAGCACAACTGGGACATGTGCAACAAACGCCTCTGTGGAGCTTTCGATCCTCGACGATGGCCCTCTCGACGTGGCGCTTGACAATTTTTTTCTTGGAGATTTGGTAGGTCCCGCCTTCGAACGTATGATATTGCCTGCATCGTCTCGTTTGACCTGGCGAAGTGAATGCCAGTGCCGGATTCGATGCTCAGTCCAACCCTGTTCCAACCGGTATTCCATCTGGCTTGCGGGCATGTACTGACAAGCCTAGCCATTCCAACGCTGCATGTCACCTTCTGGATATTCGCCTCCTCGATGTTGGTCATCTCGAGGCGGGTGTCCCCGCAGACGATCCCTCCTTGGGGGAGTGCGTGGTCAAGTCGCCTGCCGCGGCGGGCCCCCTGCGGCCCCCGCGCCAGGGGGTGGGGGCGCTGAACACCGCTCGAACGAGCGCCGCTAGAGCGGGTTCGCATGCGATCTGGTGAGTGACCAGGAGCCCGACCGCGACGCATCGCGCGGCCACCGTCTCCCCAGTCGTCCTCCTCGCCCACTGGGGGGGGACTTGGATCGCCATGGTAACTCTTCTTCACCCAGGGTTGGCGGCTTGGCGATCGCCTCTGGCGGCTGGCGGACCGATCTGGCGCAACAGAAGTAGTCTGAACTTTTTCATTCTGACCAAGCTCATATTGAAGGCGCCCAGATAGATCACCAGCGTCGCGCGGGCCTCCCCGCAGAGGATCATCATCGATTAATTCCATGTTTGCCGGATTTCCAATCGCCCGAGGATCCAGCATCGCATGCCTTTCCTCATATGTTGCATGGGCGGTAGAGTCTGAGTCCGCGGGTGCCCCCGCCATGCCAAAATCGCCTTCGGCGGGCGCGTGAAAGTTCTCGACAAACTCAATGTCTGCAGGTTGCCCCGCGATGGGTGCGCCCAGCCATTCTGCAAAATCAATGTCGTCGTGGCCAGTGAACACCTCCTCGGACAGCTCTTCGGCGTAATTCTCGAGGGCCATGCTGGCACTTAGATACCCGGCAGCCATGGTATGAACAATTGAGGCTGAGCCGTCGGCAGGGTCGTCTAAACGCGACTCCCAATCAACATACTGTATGCCGGAGTTCGTTCGAGCCACATGCATTGACGGACCCCTGCCTCTTCCATCACCTTGGGGGCACCCGCGTCGATAATGTAGTTTGACCGATGGCACCCTTTGGATTTCCTCGTCGTCCTTTACCTTTGCATGATGTTTGGCCTGCGGCTTCTGCCAGTACCTAAAAGCATTTCTTCATGCTGAGGTCCAGTAAGAAACGCTGGGAATGCTAGTATGCCTCCACCATGTAATCACCGACGCTTACCTTTGCCTTCACTTCGACCCTTGCTTTTGTTCCCTTAAGTGACCGTCGTGCAATGCGTCTTACATGTCGGACTGGTTTCTTCATGAACCTCCGCCAATGACGCTTGTGTTTTCGATGGCCCAAACATAACTACTGAGCTTGTTGCTCTTCAGTAAGGTATGTAAGCATATCCGAATAATCCAAGGAGGTAGCTTCGCCATCGGAAGACGCATCCGCATCGCGTTCCTCTTCTAGGTTCTCGAAATTCGCGCTTAAGAGGAACATAATGTAGGTGGCGCCGTCGGTGTGGCAACCGCCTATATTGACGCCAAAAGTAATAACTGCTGGGGGGCCCTCATGGCTATAGTCCGTGCGAGACCTCCCAATACTCGCTGCAATGCTGCGGCTTGCTGGGAGGGCGTCATGTTGCCTGTGGTCACATTGATCCAGGCATGTACTTCGCGGACGAACTCGCGAAATATCACTTGACCGGCGGGCACCAATGGGGGCCAGTCGTTCTTGTGTCGTTTCCGCCCCGCATATGTCCTACCGCACACCCAATAGCGACCCATATGAGCCCAAAGATAGTAACCCCAATCCAATGGCCTCGTGGGTCGTAGTCGGATGTCGCAGGTGGGGACTTATGTTGAATCGTCGTAATATGCGCGGGGTCGGAGGCGGCAGTATGTCGTATCGCATGCTTCCGTGCAGTATGTCTTCGAAGAAATTTCCAAGTGGAGTAGGTGGGTTGACTTCATGAGTGTAGTAGCACAGGGATCTAAGATGTGAGTGAGAGGCTTCCGCTTGGACAGAGGTATCGCTGCAAGTTTCCTTGCGGTATTGCGTAGTTATATACACTCCTCCACGCAATCCCACTGCACCCGGATGTTCCACCATATCTGTAGTCCACCAGATAATGCCGTGGATGGTGAGGAGTAGAGCTAGAGCTGACCACCATAGGCCAGCTCCGCTACCAAGTTTGACGGGGGCTGGAAGGCCCAGCCAACAGCTTCGCCTCAGGCGAAGCCAAGCTCCAACTCTGTTGTACCTTAGTAGCGATAGTCCCAGTATGAAAGGAGATGCCATCTCAAACGATAGGAAGATCCTTTTGGTCTCGATTGCGATTGTGTGTTTCGCAGTGAGGCAGTCATATTCTGGCGGCCGGCCGCTTGAGCCGACGCGGCCGCGGGCGCACGCTCGCTTCCACTCCTTACGCCCGTCAGCTCGCTTTAGAGTCCGAGACCTCCAAGGAGGCCTCCAAGAAGCCAAGAGCCTTCCCAAACCTTGGGAAAATCAATGTGTTTTGTTTTCTCGCCTTGACGCTTCCGATGGCCATCCGGGGCCTCAAGATGGTTCCAAGAGGGCCCACGAGGGCCCCGAAAGGGGCCCAAGACGGCTCCAAGAGCGCCCCAAGAGCGCTCCAAGAGCGCCCCAAGAGGGGCCCAAGAGACGATTTTAGGCACTCTAGAATGACGAGGCTGATTGGAGCTCCCCTCTGTTTGTATCGATCTCCTCAAAGATGGCCCGAAGAGCGCTCCCAAGGCACCCAAGAGCGCCCCAAGAGGGCCCCAGGAGGCGCCCAGGAGGCGCCCGAAGGGCCTCCAAGGGGCTCCCAAGAGATCCCCAAGACGCCTCAAGAGGACACCCGAGACACCAAGATGCTCAATGAAGCCCCCTGGACGCCTCGCCTGGGCATCGTCTCTGGATGGGCTGGTGGGGTTACGCGAAGCCTCCAGAATGTGTTTGTTCGTCGAATCTGCAGAACGTACGTAGAAGTAACATTCGACGTGCGCGCATTTTGCAGATTACACCAACATGTCACTTTCGGGGTGCATCAATTCTGTAGTCGATCCCCTACTCGAAGACTGGTGGTGTGATGAACGGCTGCCGGCCTCGGCCTGATTGTCGAAGTAGCGCCACGGGTGGCCGTGCAGCCTGGGGCTCTTTGCCTGGCCGCGAGGCAGCTGTCGCGCGTCCATGTCCATGTCGTGCTCGCACGAGGTGTCCGAGCGAAAGCTGCCTCCGAGGCGAGCGTGGGCCCGCGCCTCCATGTCTGGAGGCAGCAAGTGGTACCCCAGCTTGGGCGACGACGCGCACGAATTGACGCTCCGATGGAACTCGGCTGTCCGCTCGGCCTCATCGGCACTGTCCCGGCACGTGCCATTGTTGTAGGCCGCCACTCTCGTGGCGAAGGACGCGCCATCGTTGAACTTCGAGCTGGCGGCGTCGGCATGGTGGCCGTCGCTGGAGGTGGCGGCCCTCGGCGGCGGGTGCACGCCGTCGAACATGCCCTGGTCCGTGGAGTCTGCCCGCTCGAAAGACCGCTCTGAGTGGAAGCCGAAACCGGAACCGGCTTCTCTCGGGCCCTGGTCCGTGGAGTCTGCCCGCTCGAAAGGCGGCGCCGAGTTGAAGCCAAAGCCAGCCTCTCTCGGCAGCGAGGCGGCGGACGTCGCGCTCCTGATGTAGGAAGAAGAAAAACAGCACAAGCACAAACTTTTGGAACTCTACAGAGATTGCTTGGATCGGTGCTGGACCCGCGGAGCGCGCCATAGGCGGCGCCGGAGGCGCCGCCAGGGGGGCTCAGGGCCGATCCAAGATGTCCGCGCGGAGCGCCCCGAAAGATTATGTTTACGCAGTTGTTGCTTCTTCGATTATGTGCATCCGGGAGGCGGCCGTCGACCACCCAAGGTGGAACTCCTCTCGCCGGGCCCGCAGGTGAAGCTCCAGCTCGCTGAGCTCCTCCAGGTCTTCGTCGCGAAGGCTGCCCTGGCGTTGCCTGCTGAGAAGTGTTCAAACGATCCCTACCCTCATGGGCGTGGCCTGGGTACCACTGGCCGATTTACCCTCCTAATGGGGATGCAAGCTGTTCCCTTCGAGTGTCGATGGGCATTACCCCAACTGGGGTGGTGGAACGGTGCGGAGCGGGATGAGGATTGAGATGGGGATGGGGATCGGTTCAATGATACTGACCTGCCCCGTCGCAAACTCCTCCAGCACTGGCTCAACTTCTTGGCGTCCGACGGTACGGGCGACACGGAATGGACCGTTCCAGCCCCCAGCCACTCCTGAGGGGAGCCACGATCGATCTCGAATCGGCGACACATCGCCGATGGATCAGCGATAGACCCTGGACCGCAAGGCCAGATGCTCGCTGGCGGGAGCACCCAGGCCCAGAATTCGGCGATGTTTGGGCAACGGGGCTGAAGTACCCACCTTCCTCCTCCTCCTCCTCCTCCTCCTCTATCAGAAAGATGGGGTCGGAGGATCGCGCCGCCTCGCCGGTGCATCGGCGATACATCGGCGTCGCATCGGAGATGCATCGGCGATGTTGGCGGTGCATTGGCTACGCCGGCGCAGAGAATTCCGGGCTCCACACCGAGTTTCATCGCCGATGCATCGGCACTGCGGAGGGGGTCCACCGACACCACCTACTCGGACCCCGACTGGAAGGCTAAATCTGAGCTCCTCGAAATGGGCCTGCAAGGCTCCGGGCTCGCGCAGCTCGGGCGGCAGCCTCTCGACCAGCACCGTGCGGCGGGTCTGCGCCAGGAGGTCCTCCTCCGGCGCAGCCGTCGCCTCGCGGCGGCGGCCCTCCACGCCAGGCATCGCCGTCCGCAACCGGGCCATGGTCGGCGGGGTCAGGCCACGCGTGAAACGAGCATCCGTGTTGAGCTCTTCGTCCGTGGCCGACCCGTGGGGCCAGGGCTCCCGGGGAGAAGGGTCTGAAAGCATCGGTCGCTCCCCAAGCCGCCCGCCGCACAGGAAGAAGATGCGCCTGAGCTGGACGAATCTCTCGTACTCCCTCCAGAGGAGCCCGCATAGGGTTAAGGTGCAGAGGTAGGACACTGGCACGACGGCCCAGAGCAGGCGCGAGTTGGGCCCGACGTTAGAGATGCTGCACAAACCCAAGCCTCGGTATGGCTCAGTTGCGCGCAGGTAGCCGCCGGCGGTGAAGCAGAACACGAGCAGCAAGCACCAAAGGCTCGACAGCGCACAGAAGCGTCCGCAAAGCGCACAAAAGCGGAGCATGACGAGCGCGTCCATGCCCGCACACTCCAGCACGGTCCTCTCGTTCACGGTGAGCAGCACACGGAGCAGCTGCGCCAAGCGCAGCCGCAACTTGTTCGTGAACTTGCGGCGTGCGGCGCTCACGTGCCCAGACCGCTGCGGCGGCTTCTGCCTCCAGCGCGACAGCGGAGGCGGCGCGATCACGCGGCGCAAGCTGTCCGGCATGGCCGCGCGCAGCTCGGTCCCGTCGCTGGGGCGGCGGGCCACGACCGCAGGTCTGCTGGCACTGGTTTCCGAGAAGAGCATGCGGGGCCTTAGTCATTCTTGGAAGCGGCAAGGCCGTGTTTGTGCCATGTCCGAAGGTACTACTCACTGCGCGGAGCTCCCCACATGTGCATCGATCTGCATGGGCCATTCCGCCGTGATTGTCTGGACAAGCGGGCTTGAGTACTGACAGACTGGGGGCGAATCGAACTGCGAATGAGCTTGAGTGTGAACGAGTCTCATAATACGAGGGAGTGTTTGCGCGTGAGCCTGAGCACATCTAAGCTTAGGATGAGTGCATCTGCGCGTCCGTGGTCTGGGCATGACTGATCGTAACGGCGTCGGAATGGCTACGCGATCACTCCCTTCACGATGAAGAAAACAATGCGGGGTGGTCGTGCGCACGCCGTGCGAAACGCTTGCGCTTCGGTGGCTGGCCCAGAAGATCTCACGCAGTGGCCGGAACGTGATACAGCCGGCCGCGCCACGGAGAGCAGAGGCCCAACCTGAAGACACATAAGTAAAGCATCGAATGCTGGAGCCACGGGGGACGGGCAAAACATAGAAACATTTGTAGGAACATGCGTTAAACACAAAAACATGTGGCCCAAGAGAAGCCCAAAATGTAGCCACATACGGAAAACGCATACGATTGCGGCCACACGAGAGGGGAAATCTGTAGGAACACGCGCCAAAGACCAAGGGTTCGTGCCCCAGGAGATGCCCAATTCACAGGAACAGATGCGAAACACCTAGGACTGGAAGCACAAGAGAGGGGGGCAATGTATGAGAGCATATGTAAACAAAAAAAGATTAGCGCCCCAAGAAGGGCCCGAAATGTTGGAATATACGTTAGACGCCCAGGACTGGAGACACAGGAGAAGGGCAATATAGAAACATACATAATACACAAAAGATGTGCGGAAACAAACCCAATCTAAAATCACAGATTCCCCCCAATCAGTGTTTACACCGAAGGGGTCCGAGCGGAAATAGAAGAGATCGAAATAGCGGGCCAATTTCGGTGGGCGGGCGGCTCTCGGTGGGCGGCTTTCGGTAGGCGCCCCCTCAAAATAGTGGCGAAAGTAGCCGGCCGATTACTGTGGGCGGCTCTCGATGGGCTTGCTGGCGGTGGGCGCCCCCCCCTTTCTCTCTTTGTTTTTTTTGTTGTTGTTCTCTCCCTCTCTCTCTTGGTATCTCCTATGATCAGTGCTGTCGGCGGGCGCTCCCCCTTTCTTCTTCTTCTCTCTCTCGTTTCCTCTCTCTCTCTATATATATACACAGCCATGTGTACATACATGTCTCCGTCTCACTCTGTTTCGTTTCCCTGGTACGCAATCCATTCGCTAATCGTTATGTTTCAAATTGTTTTTCCGTGTTATATCATCTCTGTCTCATTCCCCTCTCTTTCCCTCTCTCTTGATCATTATTGTTGTCTGTATCACTCTTTGATACGGAATGCATTATCTAATCGTTATGTCTGCTGTCTTTCTCAGTGTTATGCAATATATCTCTCTCGCATCCCCCTCTCTCTATTTTTACCTAACAGCGAAGACTGATAGGTTTCTAGTAGGGTCAAAAGAGAGCATCATGACCCCCAGGGGGGTCTGGGCAGATGCCGGACGGGTGCCGCGGAAATCCGGGGACTCCTTTTTTAGCCAACAGTAGCGCATTTCGTGGTCTTCGAGTCCCCAGAAATCCATTCCTGGGCATGATGCCCGGAGCCAACTGTAGGCCACTTCGTGTTCTTCGAGTTCCCAGAACTCCATTCCTGGGCATGATTTTGAATGCCCGGAGCCAACTGTAGGCCACTTCGTGTTCTTCGAGTTCCCAGAACTCCATTCCTGGGCATGATTTTGGATGCCTGGAGCCAACTGTAGGCCACTTCGTGGTCTTCGAGTTCCCAGAACTCCATTCCTGGGCATGATTTTGAATGCCCAGAGCCAACTGTAGGCCACTTCGTGTTCTTCGAGTTCTCAGAATTCCAGTCCCGGGCCACATTTTGAATGCTGAGGCAGGCTGAGGCTGAGAATGAGGCTGATGCAGGCTGAGGCAGGCTGAGGCTGAGGCCGAGGCTGAAGGCAGACTCAGCCTGAGGCTGAAGCAGGCTGAGGCAAAGGCTGAGACAGGCTAAGGCTGAGGCTGAGGCAGGCTGATGCTGAGGCAGGCTGAGGCTGAGGCTGAGGCTGATGCAGGCTGAGGCTGAAGCAGGCTGAGGCTGAGGCCGAGGCTGAAGGCAGACTGAGGCTGAGGCTGAGGCTGAAGCTGAGACTCATGCAGGCTGAGGCTGAGGCAGGCGGAGGCTGAGGCCGAGGCTGAAGGCAGACTGATGTTGAGGCTGAAGCTGAGGCCGAGGCTGAGGCAGGCTGAGGAGGCCTGCTGAGGCAGGCTGAGGCTGAGGCTGATGCAGGCTGAGGCTGAGGCAGGCTGAGGCTGAGGGCGAGGCTGAAGGCAGACTGAGGCTGAGGCTGAAGCAGGCTGAGGCTGAGGCTGAGGCAGGCTGAGGCTGAGGCTGAGGCAGGCTGAGGCTGATGCAGGCTGAGGCTGAGGCTGCAGGCTGAGGCTGAGGCAGGCTGAGGCTGAGGAGGCGAGGCTGAAGGCTGAGGCTGAGGCTGAGGCTGCAGGCTGAGGCTGAGGCTGAGGCAGGCTGAGGCTGAGGCAGGCTGAGGCTGAGGCTGAGGCTGATGCAGGCTGAGGCTGAGGCAGGCTGAGGCTGAGGCCGAGGCTGAAGGCAGACTGAGGCTGAGGCTGCAGGCTGAGGCTGAGGCTGAGGCAGGCTGAGGCTGAGGCTGAGGCAGGCTGAGGCTGAGGCTGAGGCTGAGGCTGAGGCTGATGCAGGCTGAGGCTGAGGCAGGCTGAGGCTGAGGCCGAGGCTGAAGGCAGACTGAGGCTGAGGCTGAAGGCAGGCTGAGGCTGAGGCTGAGGCAGGCTGAGGCTGAGGCTGAGGCAGGCTGGCTGAGGCAGGCTGAGGCTGAGGCCGAGGCTGAAGGCAGACTGATGCTGAGGCTGAAGCAGGCTGAGGCTGAGGCTGAGGCAGGCTGAGGCTGAGGCAGGCTGAGGCTGAGGCTGAGGCAGGCTGAGGCTGAGGCTGTGACTGCGACTGCCGTTGCCACTGCGACTGTCATCGCGAATGCGACTACGACTGCGAGAACAGCAGAATTCTACAACTGGATTCTTATCTGAATCTTATGGGGAATGATTCCAGATATGCTCCTACACATCGCTGTTAGGTTGCTTTGCCAGGATAATATCCTCTTTCGCTCTGTCTCTCTCTCTGATCCCCTCTCTTTCTCTCTCTCTCTCTCTTTCTCTCTCTTCTGGTATTCATCCATGTGTACCTGTCTCACTCTTTCTTTTCCCCGAACTATTCAATCATCGCCTCTCTTTATCTCTCATGATATATGTTTATCTCTCTTGCGAAACTGCGGCTGGGCATGGTGCTTGGAAACATTCCGGACCATCCATTGATTGGGTTCTTTCTCCGGTGTGATGGAAAGCACCTCGGATTCGAGCCACTCCCGTGGCTTTCTGCGGCCTGCTGGAGGCCTCTTGGGGCCTCCTGTGGCTTCCTGGGGCGTCCTGAGGCCTCCTGGGGCCTCCTGGGACCTCTTGGTGCCTCCTGGGGCTTCCATGTGCCTCCGGGGACTTCCTGGTGCCTGCTGGGGCCTCCTGGAGCCTCCTGGGGCCTTCTGGGAAGTAACATACGCAGGAACATACGTTAAACACCAAGGACTCCTGCCCCAAAGGATGCCCGATCAACAAAAACATATGTGAAGCACCTAGGATTGAAGCCCCAAAGGAGTGGCAATGGATAGGAACATCTGTAAACGACAAGAAAGATTTGTGCCCCAACAGAGGCCCAACCCAATCTGTAGGAACACATGAAACACATAGGATTGGAACCACAAGAGAAAGGCAATAAATAAGAACATACGTAAAACACAAAAAAACTCGTGCCCCAGGGGAAGCCCACTCAACAGGAACATACGTAAAACGCGTAGGATTGGATCAACTCTTGTGGCCTCCTGGGGCTTCCTGGTGCTGCCTGGAGCATGTTAGGCCTCCTTTGGCCTCCTGTTGCGTCCTGGGGTCTGTCCTTGGGCCTCCTGTGACTTCCTGGGGCCTCTTGGGGAAGATTCCTGCCCCAAGAGAGGCCCTATCTACAGGAACAGACGTAAACACACATAGGATTGGAGCCACATGGGAGGGGGACTCTATAGATACATGCGTAAAACACAAAAAGATTCGTGCCCCATGAGAGGGCGAATCTAGAACCACCGACAAGGATTGGGGCCACACGGGAGGGGCAATCCATGGGGACATACGTCAAATATCAAGAATTTGACTTGTCCGCAGACAAGTCGTGCCATCAACACAGCCAAACCACTCGAGACATTCACAATCCGGCCCCCCTGGGATGCGAAAGCCAGCGCCTCGCCCGAGACATCCTCAACGTCTGACCCGAAAGCGGATGATATTGGGCACGCAAAACAAGCAAACCGCTTCAAATATCCCCACAAACCGAGCTCCCGGCTGTGCTGAAACCAGCGCCTCACCCGAGACATCGCCAGAATCTGCTATGAACGCAGCCGAATCTGGCAACCAAAACCGGCAACCCGCCCTAAACATTCTCGCAATATGGGCCCCCCCTGGGGTGCGAAAGCCAGCGCCTCGCCGGAGAGATCCTCAAAACAACTAAAGGATGCTGGGCACGCAAACAGGCAAACCGCCTGAAACATCACCACAATTTGGGCGCGAACGGGCCCGTGCAATGCCCCCCTTGGCGCCTCCCCCCCCTGGGGGTGCGAGAACCAGCGCCTCGCCTGAGACATCTTCACACACTGCTCCGAAACCAAAGGATGTTGGGCATGCGAACCGGCAAACCGCCTGAGACATCCCCACAATCTGGGCGCGAACGGGCCAGTGCAATAACCTCCTGGCGTCCACCCCCCCTGGGGGTGCGAAAACCAGCGCCTCGCCCGAGACATCCTCAAAATCTGCTCCGAAAGCAGAAGTCATCATCATCATGACCACCACCAACATCACCAT